TTTTGTCTTACAGAGTATTATATGTCATTTTGTACTTTTATCTACTCTCATTGATCTTCTGTTTTTTGCTTGTTGGTTTATCTTGCCCACTTCCCACACCCATGTAATGAGTAAACTATCAGAACTGGCTGGAATGGAGGAATAGCTATATATTCTCTTTTTAAATTACATAGCCTAGTCTCACATTTAAGTAGAAGTCTCATATTTAAGTCTCATAATTAAGTGGAATCTATTATTTTGAGTTGACTCTCAGCTACCAAAAAGATGCTTTAGTGCACATATTTGAGTTGTTTATGGAGGCTGGGAAGCAAAGATGTTTAGGTGTCATTGTCCCTACATGTCAGAAGCAAGGTCTAGGTGGCAGAGTGAGAGTACCATCTTTGCATCTTCCTCTGCCAGCTGCTTCTTTGTTTTAATTTAAGGCATCTTGGCCTTTTCTGGGCATAGTTCCCAGAAAGTCTCTCTGCTGCTGGGTCCATGATCAGGTTTCTGAATCTGTTAATAAACAGCAGTGGGGGAAGGAAATTACTAAAGCAGATGGACAGTTCCTGTACATGGGGCTCTGCTGCTTCCTCTCTGGATCTAATGAGAGTCTGGCATTTTCTCGAATGTCACACCTTCCAAGCACTCCTGGAGGAGCTACCTGTACTTAGCTCATGGAGTCTCTCAAGTCCCCACTCTCAGATCAGCATACATGGGCTGAGGAATACTGGCATATTTATGACAATACTGGAACCGCATATTAGAGATCTGCCAACTGCTGGTGGCTCACACCTGTACTCCTAGATACTTAGGAGACTGAATTCTGAGGATCATGGTTTAAAGGCAGCTGTGACAGAAATGTTCACTGGGCAGAAAGGTTTCCATGCACATATGCAAGCACACCCATAAACACACACACATGAATATTTTAAATCGACACTCCAGAAAATCCAGAGGGAGCAATAATGTTCCTCACAGATCACCTAGAAAGAAAGAAGGTTGAGCAGCATTAAGATGATAGTGATTCAGAAAGAACTGTTAAGTTTAAAGGAAGAGTACAGGGCTGGGAATATGGCCTAGTAATAGAGTGTTGGCCTAACACGCATGAAGCCCTGGGTTCCTCAGTACCGTATAAACAGAAAAGGCAGGAAGTGACGCTGTGGCTCAAGTGGTAGAATGCTAGCCTTGACCAAAAGAGCTCAGAGACAGTGCCTAGGCCCTGATTTCAAGCCCCAGGAATGGCAAAAAGAAAAGGAAAAGAATAGAGTGTACTGAGTTAGATAGAAAGGTAACTATTTTGCTTGACTTTCACTATTAAAAACTAAAATGTAACACAATTTCTGTTATTCAATTTTCTACAAAATGAAATGAGATTGAAACAGATAGAATGACTAAAGAAAATTTCATTTGTTGTTATAACATCTGGTTATTTAGGACATCTGCATGTCTGAATCAATTTTTCCTTGGTGTGTTTGGCAAATGGAGAACATATTTCCTTTCTAAATTGAATTTATTCTAATAATTGCTATTCTAATGGCATGTTGATTAATATTTCTCCCATTCTGTTATTTTATCAAATAAAATAGAAATACTATATTGGAGTAAAATAATAAACTGCTTAATTTCACAATACATGCTCATATACAAGCTCTGAGAGCTAAAAAGGGGGGGGGGAAGGAGAATGATATAGAAGAGGAGACTGTGAAGGTGAAGCTGAGAAAAAGGAAGGGATGATGTCAGGTGAGTAGAAATGAGAGTGCAAGACTAGCATGGCCTCTTAAGTCAGAGCTAAAACTAGCACAGTTTATGTTTTGGTGCCTCTACTCCTGCTATTCTTCATGAGTGGCTTCTGTGTTCATGTCTACCCTCTCTGTACTCTTTCTCCATCAAAACCTGCTGTCAGTAAAGAGTATATTAATTTAAATATAGTATTTAAAATCATTAAAGCTTCAAAAATTACCAGTCATAACCAAGCATAATGACACATACTCATAGTCCCAGTTCTCTAAAGGCTGAAGTGGAGGATCACTTGAATCTACAAGACCAGCCTGGGAAACATAAGGAGACCCCCCACTTAGAAAGGAAGGAAGTGAAAAAGGAAAGAAGCAAAGGAAAAAAGAAAAGAAGGGGGGAAAAAGTAACAAAACTACCTCAAGAAACTAAGCCAGGGACTGAGAATATGGCTTAGCAGTAGAGTGCTTGCCTCGTATGCATGAAGCCCTGGGTTCAATTCCTCAGTATCACATAAACAGAAAAGGCCAGAAGTGGTGCTGTGGCTCAAGTGGTAGAGTGCCAGCCTTGAGCAAAAGAAGCTCAGAGGCAGTGCCCAGGCTCTTGAGTTCAAGCCTCAGGACTAGGAAAAAAAAAAGAAAGAAAAAAGGAAACCGAGCCAGCCAGGAACTGATGGTTCACAGCTGACATCATAGCTACTCAGGAGTCTGAGATCTGAGGATCACAGTTCAAAGCCAGCCTGGACAGAAAAGTCCATAAGACTCCTATCTTCAATAAACTACTCAGAAGTAGAGCTGTGGCTCAAGTTGTAGAGCACTAGTTTTGAGCACAAACAAACTTACACTGGGCGCCTGTGGCTCATACCTGTATTCCTAGCTATTCAGAGGCTGAGAAATGAGGATCATGGTTCAAAGCCAGCCCAGGCAGAAAAGTCTGTGAGGCACTTATCACCAATTAACCACCAGAAAACTAGAAATGGCACTGTGGCTCAAAGTGGTAGAGTCTAAGCCTTGAGTTGAAGAGCTCAGAAACAGGACCCAGGCCTAGAGTTCAAGCTCCACGACTGACAAAAAAGAAAAAAGAAACAAAACAAAAAACTCAGGGACAGCTCCTGGGTATTGAGTTCAACTCCCAGGACTGAGATAAATAAATAAATAAACTGATCCATGTAACCAGTGCCTTTTACTTGTTACCCTAGCAACTAAGGAGGCTGAGATCTGAGGGTCAGAGGAAAGAAAAGTCTACAAGATTCTTATTTCCAACAAACCAGAAAAAAAAAAAAATGCCAGACAGCCCTGTGCTGATGGCTCATGCCTATAATTCTAGCTACCAAGGAGGCTGATGAGGATCGCAGTTCAAAGCCATCCTGGACAGGAATGTCCATGAGACTTTTCTCTTTAATAAACCTCTCAAAAAAAGCTGAAAATGGTCCTATGGCTCAAGTGGTAGAGTCTAGCCTTGAGCAAAAGAAGCCCAGGACAGTGCCCAGGCCCTGAGTTCAAGACCCAGGACCAGAAAAAAATAAAACCAGCCTGGAGGTGTAACTCAAGGCTCTGAGTTCAAGCCTAGTATTGGCACAAAAGAATAACAAAGGTAGCAGAGTACATTGTAATACAGTGGAGTCCCCAGATAGCATTGAGAACTAGAAATAGAACTTGGCCTGCTACCCACAAGCCAGCTAGTGTCCCATTCCATCACAACTTCTTCCCTCCCGAAGGTAACTGCTATCCTGACTTTTATGGTACTCACTTAGGAGGATTTTATTTTAATGGGACTAAAAGTTTCACTATAAATAGCCACTAATGGCAGAACATTAGACAGTTGTTTGGGTCAGCCATAGGAGGCAGCTAGAGGTCAGCACACTTAACATGACATTATTTTCCCCAGCTAGTTCCCCCAGTGCCTGTGATTAGCATATACCTCCTAAGAAAGGATCCCATAGAAGTTCAGTGTCTGTACTCCATGCCCTTACCTGCCTTACTGTCATCCACTGGTCTAGAAAAGGCCAAACTCCAGATTTCCTAAGGCAGAAAAAGACTGCAACATCCAGTGCTTAGAAGTGTACAAGGAGATGGCTGTCTCTGCTGCCAACACATGTGAGCCTGTGTAAATCTCCTTGGATCTAAGTTTCTCATTGTGAGGTATGGGAGTACATAAAGCCTTCCCTTTATCCTCTCCTAATTTGGACCCTTTATTTTATCTTGGTTTCTGTGTCAGCTGCCTACTCATTCACCCTTATAAGGAACTCATTATCTCCCTTTCTCAGTGTCTTTCTAGTCAGTGTCCCAGCTCTTTAAATTTGTACACGACCCTGCTTCGTCTCTACATAGCTCTGTAAATATACACCTGTGAGAGGGTGTGAGAGTATACATCTGTAATTACAGCCCTGGGGAAGCTGAGGCAGGAGATCAGAGAATTCAGGACCATCCTGGGCTATATAGCAAGATCCCATTCAATAAATAAATATGTCCTGATAGTGCATAAATGGAATGGGAAAAAGTTGTCTCATATTCCTCCAATATTTGCTGCATGCCTAGCTACTCAAGAGATTCTGAAGACGATAGTTTGAAGCAAGTCTGGACAGCGAAGACCACTTGACTCCATCTCCAAAATAAAACTAACAAAAAAGCAAGGCTGGGAGCAAGGCTTAACTGGAGAAAGCTAAGAAAAAAGTATTTATATATGCATAGATACTATCCTGTTACTCCATATCTATAATCATTCTCTCTTCACCTTCCTCCTTTCCCATCCTATCTCTACAAAGTAAGTCTGAGGGTCTTGCAGGCAGGACACAGAAACACAGGAGCAGGCTGTGGAAAGACACTGTGGAAAGCAGCCAGATGAAACGAGGGCAAAGCTAGCTGTATTACATGCAGAGATCGGACCGGAATGAAAAGCAGTGATTCAAAGAACACTGCAATTCAGGCACTCCTTGGGTTTCACTTTGAGAGCTACCACAGGATTGAGGTCAGTGTGTGTGCGCATGAGGAGTGGGTAAAGACAAACAAGCTTCTCTTCCCTGGAGAAGTGCTCCAGGTCAATTTGTCCCCTTCATCTTTTTTCTGCTGCCCCACCCCCCACTAATCCCTCACACTGACCAGTGTCCTGGACCTTTAAGAGTTAGATGGGCTGGACTCAAGAAAACGCTCACACCTCTCCCCACCTCACTCCTTCCCTCCGGCTGTAACTCTGCCTGTCACAGCAGCCAAACTGCAGAAGAAGTGCAACCAAGTGAGTGCAAAGGAGAAAAGGGGCCAGCCTGGGCTTTCTCATCCCACATCGGTGAGCATTTGGCGAGCGGAACTGCAGAGCTCACAGACTCAGGACTGCAATACTGCCCACGGTAAGGGCCTGGAGGCTCCAGCCAGCCTCTGTCCTTCCTGCCTAAATCCTTAATCCCCCACTTTCCCCCCCCCCTCAGATGCTTACTTAGCCTAGTTAGATTGTATCCTAGACCCCTTTCCCTACCCCTACTGCTTGACAGGGCTCCTTCCTCCTAGTTCTGCCCAGTTTATTCTCTTTGGCTATCTGGGTTTCCTTCTTCGACTCTTACAGTTTCTCCCCCTCCCCCCTTTTTTTTTTTGGTGTGCTGGTCCTGGGACTTAAACTCAAGGCCTGAGCACTCCTTTGAGATTTTTCACTCAAGTCTAGTGCTCTACCACTTGAGCCAGAGTTCCACTTCTGGCCTTTTTTTTTTGTTGTTGTTTTTTGTTTTTGGTTAATTGGAGACTCTCACGAACTTGACTTCCTGGGCTGGCTTTGAACCCAGATCCTCAGATCTCAGCCTCCTGAGTAGCTAGGATTATAGGTTTAAGCCACCAGTACCCAGCAGTTTCACTCCTTTATAAAGCAACATCTTAGCTATCCACACCAGAAGTACTGACCCTAGCTCCCCCTCAGAGGTGAGCTAGCTGCCAAAAGAGAAGAAGAATTAAGAGTAGGCATAGCATCGATTCATTTACATAGATTTAGCATAGATTCATTAACAAATTATTAAAAGTTATCACATGAAAGTTGGCCAAGACCAACTGAGAGTCAGAAACTCCTGGTAATCAGGAGTTATAAGACATCCTGGGAAAGAGTCGGGGTTCAAGCTCTGTGTCTTGTTCTTCACTGGCTTAATGGGCAGTTTCTTTGTGCACCAGAGTACTGTGCTACAGAACTTTTGACTACAACTTCCTGATCTGTTACAGGAGAGTTGAGGTTTTCTGAAACTTGTCCTATGGCCAGGTCAGCTTGTTAAAAATGAATATTCTTAGGAATGGGAGGGAAAAACTGGGAGAGAGCAAGGGAAGAAGGTGACATTGTCCAAAAATAAATGTACTTTTTACCTGACTTATGTAACTGCAACCCCTCTGTACATTACCTTTATGATAACAATAAAAAGGGAAAAAATAAATATTCTTAGCTGGACACTGGTGGCTTACAGCTATAATCCTATTCAGGAGGCTGAGATCATAGTTTAAAGCCAGCCCAGGCAAAAAAGTCCATGAGACTCATCTCCAATAAACTACCAAAATAGCTGTGGCTCAAGTGGTAAAGCACTAATCTTAAGTAAAATAGCTCAAGGACAGTGTCCTGAGTTTTAAGACCTAGGACTGGCACATAAATATTCTTGGGTCCCATTCCTAGAATTTTTATGTGGTGGATTTGGGGGTGCGCTAAGGAATCCTTATTTAAGACACTCTCCAGATGACATTCATTTAGACATGAATCTCTGGCTTTTATGTGCTATAAAAGAGCCTTCAAGCTCTAACATTCTGATGGCTATGACCTGTGACCAAAGCCATTGTGTCCTCCTCAGATGAAGCAGGTTAGGCATAATCCCCAGAAGCAAGAAGACAGACTAGAGGATTCATTTTCTTCCTGCCCCCTTGAGAAAATTAAAACAACCTGAATCCTACTAGAATATCATTGGCTTTAATGATGACAACTTCCAAAATCCATCTCTAGGTGATGTGAAGCTACTTGGAAATTGAGGACCAAAATTAGCTCCACAGTGCCAGGCTACTTCCCACCTATTGTGTGTCTATTTCCCCATCTTTACTGTAGAGGTAATTATCTATACTTTCCAAGATCTCCATATTTATGACCAAGTCCCTCTTCCTCTCAGTTTTCATCTTCTCTGCCCTGGGCAGTGCCCTCTCCCCAAACCCTCTGTTTCTTCTTGCCCCGATGCACCTGATATCAGTTGTGGCCATCTTTTCACTCAAGACACCAGAAGAAACACAAGTCCTAGAACACTTAGGTTCTAATTGCATTCTCTGGGTACTTTGTTTACTCAGTCTCCTAGGAAACAGGGAAAAGTGAGGCTGAGAGAAATATGCTACCAAGTGTTTGAAGCCAAGTGTCCTCCATCCTGGACCATAATAATCTGAAAATCCTCAAAGGGGATGAGAATCAGGGCTGTTGGGAATTTGCGGTGATAAAGGAGGGAAGAGACAGGAAGAAGTGATGGAAAAAAAAGGATGAAGAGAAGGATGAGAAGAGGAGAGCAAGAAGAGCCTGGCCTAAGTGAGCAGAGAGGATGGGGAGAAAGAAGCGTAAGCTGAGAAGAAAGGAAAGGATGAGGTCAGCTCTGGGATGGGGAAAGGGAAGAAGGTAGAAAGAAAAGCTATTTGGAAGGACACAGAGGAGAGAGAGTAGCAGTGTCCTTTACTGATTCATGGGCTTGCTTCAACCTGCTTCTTAAAGCTCTTTTAAAGGCTTTTTATAAGTCTTAGCAAGCTTCTGGGTTGGTTATACAGAGTTCTGGGTTCTAGTTTCAATTCTGTGGCTCACTAAATGTCTGGCAGATCAGCCAATCTTTCTAATATTCAGGCTCCAGCTCTAATAGTCGGTGGTTCCCTGAGTCACTGTTGATGTGCTGATAGCCACGTGTCAGGTACATGTTTAAAATAGTGGCTTATGTATAGGAGCAGGGCTAGAAAAAAAATTAAAAAGGATGAGGAGAGGAAGTGGCGCTGTGGCTCAAGTGGTAGAGTGCTAGCCTTGAGCTGGAGAGCACAGGGACAGCGCCCAGGCCCAGAGTTCAAGCCCACGACCGACCAAAAAAAAAAAAAAAAACAGCTCATTAGAGTAAGGGAAAGTAAAATTTGGTCTCCTCTAAGGTCTATCCCAGAACTCCAAAACCCCAGGAGTGAGAGTTCAAGTTCAGAGAGGAGTGAAGGCAGAATATTAGATTAGACTGAGGACCCAGGAAACTTAAGATGACCTGGTACTTTTTACTTCAGACTTCATATAGCTTCTTCAAGCCCCATATTGCAAACAGTGCATCCCCATTCAGAAAGGGGGTGCTTTTCTGTCTCTCAGGATGCACTTGGGGGTCACTTCCCCTATCAAGAAGTTTCTCCTGGGGCTGGGAAGGTGGCTCAGTGGTAGAACACTTGCCTTGCATGCCTGAGGCACTGGGTTCGATTCCTCAGCACCACATAAGCAAAAAACAAAACAAAACAAAAACAGGAAGTGGCGCTGTGGCTCAAGTGGTAGAGCGCTAGCCTTGAGCTGAAGAGCTGAGGGACAGTGCCCGGGGCCCAGAGATCAGGCCCCACAACCGGACCCCCCCCCCCCAAAAAAAAAAAGAAGTTTCTCCTGGTCTCAACCAGGAACACATATTCAGCTTCAGCCAGTAAAAGCTTTTCCTCCAGAATCTGTCACAAAGCTCTTTTTCTCCCAAGGGGTGCTTCCCAGCCTTCTCTCACTCTGCTACCCCTTTTGGAAAACCTTCTCCAGATCTTGAAGTTAGAAAACTGTAGTTTTGGTGGCCTGCCTCCATATTCTTCCTGAAGAATTCACCACTCCTAGGTGACTTTTTAAGGTTTTCTTGCTAGGACTCTAAAATGCTTTGTGACCTCAGATATGTCTCAAATAATTCTGGACTTGGACTTTCTCATCTGTAAAATACCATAGTTGAACTACATGCTATTTTAATGGAATATGAACTGAATAATTGCTTTATGAATTTTAAAAGTTTTCTTGCATGTTCACCACTGCCAAAACTTTGAGCTTTTGCTGGGTGTTGGTAGCTCATGCCAGTTAGCCTGGCTACTCGGGAGGCTGAGATCTAAGGATTGTGGTTCAAAGCCAGCTCAGGCAGGAAAATCTGTGAGACTCTTATCTCTACTAAACTACCAAAAAGTGGGAAATGGTGTTGTGGCTCAAGTGGTAGAGTGCTAGCCTTGAGCAAAAGAAGCTCAGGAACAGAGCCCTGAATTCAAGCCCCAGGACCAAAACAAAAATAAAACAAAACAAAACAATCCTTTAAGCTTTTTATTTTTTATTTTTATTTTTAATTTTTTGGTCGGTCGTGGGGCTTGAACTCTGGGCTTGGGCGCTGTCCTTGCACTCTTCAGTTCAAAGCGAGTGCTCTACCACTTGAGCTACAGTGCCACTTACAGTTGGTTTTCTAGTGGTTTTTATTGGAGAAAAGAGTCTCACAGACTTTCCTGCTTGGGCTGGCTTTGAACTGCAATCCTCAGATCTCAGCCTCCTGAATAGCTAGGATTACAGGCGTGAGCCACCAGCACTTGGCCCTTTAAGCTTTTTAATTAGATCAGGCTGGCAGTGGGGCTCAAAATCCATAGAGGATATGCCTAGCAAGAGCAAAGCTCTGAGTTCAAAAGCCTAGTTTTGGGGGGGGGGGGAGGAATTACAACATATTTCTATTCAAACATAGATCTTTAGTTTATATTAAAAGTACGGCCTCATTTTAGTACTACCTGATCAAGAGTTAAATATGGCTGGGGACGGTGGCTCATTCCTGTAACCCTTGTTACCAATGAGGCTGAAGAATCACGAAGATTGTGATTCTAGACCAGCCCAAGCAAAAAACTTATAAGAGATTTCAACAGAAAAAGCTAGATGTGGTGGTATGCACCAATCATCCAAGCTACAGTGAGAAGCATAAATAGGAGGATTGTAGTTCAGGCAAGCTTGGATAAAAAGGAAAAACCATATTGAAAATTTAATTTAAAAAAGGGCTGAAACATGCCTCAAAGGTTACAGCACCTGCCTAAAAAGTGCAAGGTCCACACACACAGTGGCATATGTTTATAGGGCAGAACTAAGAGCAAAGTGGCAGGGCTGGGAAGGTGGCTCAGTGGTAGAGTGCTTGCCTTGCAAGCATGAGGCCCTGGGTTCGATTCCTCAGCACCACATAAGCAAAAAGAAAAAAGCCGGAAGTGGTGCTGTGGCTCAAGTGGTAGAGTGCTAGCCTTGAGCTGAAGAGCTGAGGGACAGTGCCCAGGCCCAGAGTTCAGGCCCCACAACCGGAGATAAAAAAAAAAAAAAAAAGAGCAAAGTGGCCACATATTAAATTTAGTTCTTTTTAAGGAAAGTTCGTATGTTTGTTGTTAGTCATTAAGAAGATTTATCCAGGACCTAAAAACTAAACAGCACATGTCTTTTATTTCTCTGCAGTGCTGGGATTTGGACTTAGGGCCTTGCCCATGCTCTGCTTGCTTGCTTGGCTGGCATGCTATCATTTAATCTATGCCTCAAGGTCAGCTTTTTTTTTTTTCTGGTTATTTTGGAAATGGAGTCTCATGAACTTTTCTGCACAAGTGGACCTCAAACCACCTTCTCCAGATTTCAGCCTCTTGAGTAGCTAGGATTACTGGTGTCAGCTACCAGTACCTGGCATAGACAGCACATCTTAAAACTTAAAAGAGATTCTTCTTCTTCTTCTTCTTCTTCTTCTTCTTCTTCTTCTTCTTCTTCTTCTTCTTCTTCTTCTTCTTCTTCTTCTTCTTCTTCTTCTTCTTCTTCTTCTTCTTCTTTCTTCTTCTTCTTCTTCTTCTTCTTCTTCTTCTTCTTCTTCTTCTTCTTCTTCTTCTTCTTCTCCTCCTCCTTCTCCTCCTCCTTCTCCTTCTCCTTCTCCTCCTCCTTCTCCTCCTCCTTCTTCCTCTTCTTCTTCTTCCTCCTCGTCCTCTTCTTCCTCTTCCTCTTCCTCTTCTTCCTCTTCCTCTTCCTCCTCCTCCTCATCCTCCTCCTCCTCCTTCTTCTTCTTCCTTTTTTAGTAGGTAGAGAAAACTTGAAAACAAAGTTCTGAGACTTCTGTAACTTATTTGGTCTATTAAAAGCTGTAAGAATAGTGGCTTTGGAAAAGAATATAAAATCTGCATTCCTGTGTGAAGGTAGAAGACTATAACTAGTTGGTAAAGAGACAAAGCACTGTGCACTAGCACTTCAGGGCTGGGCAATCTACATGATAACATGGACAGGATTCCAGGAAGAGGGAAGCTAGGATGACTTTACCTGAGAAGAGATGGATACAGGCTCACCAGTAAAATGGTGGTCCTTAATAAATGAGGAACTAAAGAGAGAGTAAGCATAGGAGGGAAAAACTGGGAGAGATAGAGGGAAGGGGTGACATTGTCCAAGAAGAAATAGACTCTTTACCTAACTTCTGTAACTGTAACCCCTCTGCACATCACCTTTATAATAACAATAAAAAATTAAAAAGAGTGAGTAAAGTGTGGAGTGAGGTTACCTAGTGGATTTTCTGGTAGGAAGAGAGTCTTTGGGCAGATGTTCTGGATTAGCCCTCTTGGAATAAGTCATGGGAAATAGGGGAAGCTCTAGGATCAGACATATCTGGGTTTAAGTCTTCATGGGACTTAAGGCAGGTTCTTAGCTTATCTAAGCTGCAGAATCATCACATTAAAAGTAGAAGTATGCCCATGTAATTGTTATCCCTCTGTACAGTATTTTCACAATAAAAAAATAAAAGTAGAAGTAAAATCCACATAGCAGTGGCTCACACTGTAATCTTAGCTACTCAGGAGGCTGAGATCGGACGATCATGGTTTGAAGCCAGCCCAGGCAGGAAAGTCCGTGAGACTCGTATCTCCAATAAAATTACAAAAAAAAAAAAAAAGCCAGAAGTAGAACTGTAGCTCAAGTGGTAGAGTGTTAGCCTTGAACAAAAGAGCATGAAGGGGTCTGATTTCTTTCTCTTGCTCCCTTGATCTCTAAGATTCACCCAAAGTTCTTGTTCTTTTAGGTGACTCGGGTGCCAGCTGGTGGAGCAGTGGGTGATGGCATCACTGATACAAAGCCGTGAGTACTGGTCTCCCACTGGGGAAAAGGGCTTGGCGGGGGCAGCCTGGGGAAGGGAAGTAGGCTGGACTCCAGTCTCAGCGCCCCCTCAAGTCCTTCTACTTTCTCTGCTGGCCTTTGCTTTCTTCTGGCCCAGGGCTGATCACTGATCCAAACTTGCTGTTGATGCAAGAAGGCACACTGATACGAAAAGTGAGGTCCAAAAGCTGGAAGAAGTTCAGATACTTCCGGCTTCAGAATGACGGCATGACAGTCTGGCAGTCGAAGCAAGCTGGGGCCTATGCTAAGCTCTCCTGTAAGTGACCTGGAGAGCTTGGGGCAGGCATGTGGGTGGGCAGGTCTTTGAGGAGCTTGGCAACCTGAGGGCAAGAGAAGGAACAGGATGTTATGACAATGGGCCCTTGTGGTTTCTTATGGCTCTCTTGAGCCTATACAAAGAGATAATATCCGGCATTTGCCTTTGTAAGGCAGGTAGGACCATTTAATTATCATTGCATTTAAGGAGCTTAGAAGAACCCTGGTACATATTAGGAAAGACAAAGCGAGAGGTAAGGGATAGAGATGGGGGTGTAGATTAATTGGAATACATTGTATATGTGTTTGAAAAGTCACAATGAAATTTCCCTTTGTACAGCTGAGTTATGGTAATAAGCAATCATTTTGGGGGGAAAATAGAGTCCTGGTATGTATTAAGGTGCAAGAAGGCTCATAGGCTATATCTTCTTTCTTGTTAGCATCATCATCAACATAACCATCACCATCATCATTATGATCTCAGGCATTAGCCTGCCTATAGTAAAACCCTGGCTCTGCCACTCCCTAGCTATGCCTTTGGACAAATTAATTAAACTAATTAATCAAATTATTTAATGAGCTGGACACTGGTGGCTCATGCCTGTAATTCTAGCTATTCAGGAGGCTGAGGTCTGAGGATCACGGTGTGAAGCCAGCCCAGGCAGGAAATTTTCCAATACATTACTCAGAGAAAGCCAGAAGTGGCACTGTGGCTTAAATTGTAGAGTTCTAGCCTTGAGCATAACGAGGCTCAGGATCAGTGCCCAGATCCTGAGTTCAAGCCCCAGGCCCAGAAAAAAAAAAATCTAATGAATTAATTAAATGAAGCTTCTATTTCCTCATCTGTAAAACATTTACTAAACAGTACTTGCCCAGTAGGTTACAGAGATTCAGTGAGTTAAACTAGTTCGTAAAGCATCCAAAACCAAGATATACTTAATGAATGTTAGCCAGATATACTTAATGTTAGCAAGATATACTTAATGAATGTTATATTTTTTAAGGGCTGGGAAGGTAGCTCTGTGGTAGAGCGCTTGCCTTGTATGCATGAGGCCCTGGGTTCGATTCCTCAGCACCACATAAGCAGAAAAAAAAAGGCCGGAAGTGGTGCTGTGGCTCAAGTGGTAGAGCACTCGCCTTGAGCTGAAGAGCTGAGGGACAGTGACCAAGCCCAGAGTTCAGGCCCCACCACCGGACCAAAAAAAAAAAAATATTTCTTTAAAACATAATAACAGTTTGTATCCTATTGGCCAAACTCTTTAGGATACTTCTAAAAATTTGATCACAGGAAAGTGGCAAGTGGTAGAGTGCTAGCCTTGCACTGAAGAGCTCAGGGACAATGCCCAGGGCCAGAGTTCAAGCCCCACAATGGACAAAAAAAAATTTGATCACAGGATACATCTATGCTTTAGAGACATAATCAAAGCTCATGATTCCATATCTCTCCCAGCTGAGGTAAGGGCGTCAAAGAATTTCTCTGGGTCCCTTGTAGACATGAAAAAGAGGAAATTCTCAAACCTGAAGGTGGGCCTATATGTTTTGGAATAACTCTACCTTTCAAATGTGTCTCTATTTGTCATCTCTGCCAGTTTTCTTGTGCTCACCATCAAGAGTGGCCATGGAAGAGGGACCATCTGTTATTTCAGATGTGAGATGGGAGTTGTTTTGATATCCACATTGCCAGCTGGTGGCTGCAAGCCAGGTCTTGCTACTTTTAGCAGTGGCTCCTTGCCCTGTGACCTACAAAAACAGCAGTGACACACGTGGGCTCCTGAATCCCAGGGGCCTACCTCTCCCTGGACTAACCTCTCTTGGAATTCAGCTCCAGAGGAGGGAGGCATTACTTTTCTCTGTCTTCCTGGAGAAGGAGGGGCCGGTGCTTGCCCCTTAGCCTCTGCAGTTTGTCAGACTCCCTTCCTCAGTGCTCTCACCTGCTTCTTTTCTGCAGTCTCAATCTCCGATGTAGAGACAGTACGCATGGGCTATGATTCTGAGTTGCTGCGCAGCTTGGCAGAGGAGTTACCCCTGGAGCAGGGCTTCACCATTGTCTTCCATGGCCGCCGCCCCAACCTAGACCTGGTAGCCAACAGTGTTGAAGAGGCCCAGAACTGGATTCGAGGACTCCAGCTGTTGGTGGAACTTGTCACCAGCATGGACCAACAGGAACGACTGGACCAGTATCGATGAGAGAAAGTTGGGATTGGGACAGGGGATCAATGAAGGAGCTATACGCTGTAGGACTGGCCAGGGTGGGAAGAGGAAAAAGGTCCAGCTGATAGGGCCTAGACAGCTCAGACCAATGTGTGGCTGAAGATTCTGGAAGAGAAATGGATGCTAGGATGGCAAAGACATAGACAGATAGAATTTCAGCATGAATCAGAATCCTGGAATTGGAGGAAGGGGCAGAAGAACAGGAACAAACAAGCCTCTGCTCCTGAGAACTATGCAGAAGATTCTGATGTTATTAACTGCTATAGGACTAGGAAGCAACTCCTTAGAAGGGTTGTGAGTGTAGAATCACTACAAGATTCCTAGATTGCACATCAGTTTGTACATTCATTCATCATCTATTAAGAAGAATGTACCAGCAACTATGCCAAGCTTGAGGGTCACAAAGATTAGTGAGATACAAATACTGGTTCAGTTAGTGGAATCAACTTGTGTAAAGAATCCAAGTACTATGGCACTTAGATAATAATCCAAGTACCAGTTTAGCTTATTTGTGTGTATTCTAATGAAGTTTAAACATGAGTGCTCTGAGAAAGTTTAAAAGAAATAGCAAGTGAACTGGGCCTTTAAAATTAGTAGAATTTAGCCAGGTGCCAGTGGCTCACACCTGTAATCCTAGCTATCAGGAGGCTGAAATCTGAGGATCAGGGTTCAAAGCCAGCCCAGGCAGGGAAGTCCATGAGACTTATCTCCAATAAACCACTCAGAAAACCAGAAGTGGAGCTGTGGCTCAAGTGGTAGAGTGCTCACCTTGAGTTGAAGAGCTGAGGGACAGTGCCCAGGCCCAGAGTTCAAGCCCCATGACTGACAAAAAAAAAAGTAGAATTTGATCTTAGGACATGGCCCAAGGGGTAGAGGGCCTGCTTACCAAGCACAGGTCCTGATTTCAACCCCCAGTATCACCAAAAATAAAATAAATAAATAGAATTTGAACTTGTAGAGAAGAGGAAGGAGGAAAAAAACAACCTATCTAGGAAACAGCATGAATAAAGGAAACTTAAAAGCAGAAGAGAGAGAGAGAAAAAGACAGAAAGAGAGAGAGATCAGAGCACAGGGAATTAATGAGTTTGCCCAAAGTACAAAAAAGACAGGCAGACATTGAGGAGAATGGGTTGGACCAGATTACAAGAGCAAACAACCGATTTTCTTGAGTTCTATATTGAGAAATTTGGGGTTCTTTCATGACAAGATAGATTGGTGCTCAAGAGAGTTTGTTCTAGAAGTTGTGTGGAAACTGGTAGCAAAGACAGGGAGAGATGTCTTCAGGAAACCACACACACACACACACACACACACACACACACACACACACACACACAGTGCTTTTGCCTTGACTCAGAGCTGGGTGGCTCAGTGACTGGTTCCAGCGTGGAGACAAAAACCAGGATGGTCGGATGAGTTTTGCAGAAGTTCAGCGTTTGCTGCATCTAATGAATGTGGAAATGGACCAAGATTATGCCCTTCAACTTTTTAAGGTGAGTCTGCCAGGGAAGGGCTCGCCAGAGCCAGCCAGGCTGGCCAGAAGGCCTTTGATACCGGGTAGCAACATTCAGTTGCTGAATGTGTGCTCATCACCACAGGCTTAGTGGGAAGTACAGGGAATGGTTCTTACTATTGGAAACATGATTCATAATGGACTTTAAGGTTCTCTCTGTTCTTGGCTAGAATTTCACAGGTGCCTCAGAGAAATTCCAACTGGAATGTAAGCAAACAGAAGGAAGTCTCTTCTATCATTTAGGAACCTTTGGGACATAATTTTTTTTTCTGGTTGAAGTTTTTCTTTAGTAGCAAAGGATATGGTCAAAAAGTTGCTTTTGCGGGGGAGAGGACTGGAAGGGCTTCCTCTATAATGAAATATTGGGAGTTCTGTGGGAATTTTGTGCAGCTGTATTTGAATCTGTCATTAAGATTGCCCTTGCAGGGCAAACAAAGGTCATGAAAATTCCCCTTGAAGTATTTGTCTATGCTCTCCTAAACTCTCTTGTAGGCAGCAGATGTATCGCAGTCTGAAACCCTGGAAGGAGAAGAGTTTGTGCAATTCTATAAGGCATTGACTAAGCGTAAAGAAGTACAGGAACTATTTGAGAACTTTTCATCTGATGGGCAAAAGCTGACCCTGCTAGAATTTGTGGATTTCCTTCGAGAAGAGCAGAAAGAACAAGACTGCGCCCTTGACCTTGCGCTGAAATTTATCGACCGCTATGAACCTTCAGACAGTGGTAAGAGGAAACAAGTGGAAAGGCACAAAGCCAGGATTCTAATGATCCAGAGATACACAGTCTTTTTGCCTAATTTAGGGAAGGCTGAATCTATCCCAGCTCTGGCCCGGTCCCTAACCACCTCCTTTTACTCTGGGGTGGGGGAGCGGGGGAAGAAAACATTTCCTGCTTAGACAGATAGAGATCTCATCTCTCAGTAAGAAAGGTCCCCTCTTTGTCACTATGCTCATGTTTCTATCTTTTGCTTTCAGGAAATCCTTCCTGATATCAGCTTTGTCTTCCATGGAAACAAGTACCCTTGGATCTCTTGCTTTATTCTCTTCTCCAATATGAATGAGTCCTTTCCCTCATGATTCTTGTTTGCTGTTTCTTTAAATGCTGGCTCTCTTCCCTTTTCTGGGATTTCTCCCATTTCTCCAAGTTATTCTTTAGTTTCTAAGCTTCTGAGCCAATAATCTAGTCAGCTCCCTCTGGGGAAATGAAACCTATTATTTAAATAGCATTTAACAAGTGCAGCAACTAGATAGAACACTGGAGCCAGTGATTCATACTAGCTACTCAGGAGGCTAAAATCTAAAGATCAAGAGTTGAAGGCAGCTCAAGCAGACAAATCTAAGAGAATATTATTTCCAACTAACCAACAGAAAGCCAGAAGAGGAGGTATGGCTCAAGTGGAGATTGAGTGGAAAAAAGCTAAGCGGGAGTGTGAGGCTCTGAGATCAAACCCCAGTACCAGCACAAAACAGCAACAATAACAAAAAATCACATTTGCCAGCTGCTGGTGGCTCATGCCTGTAAGTCACCAGAAAACCAGAGATGGCACTGTGGGTCAAAGTGGTAGAGCACTAGCCTTGAGCAAAAAGAGAGTTCAAGGACAGCACCGAGTTCAAGCGCCATGACACCACCACCACCACTAAAAATCACATTTGTTTTAAGTGCAGCTAAAATATACCCTTAGTCCTAAATGAATACATGTAGTAAACTCATTTCCGTTCCTCCATTCCCTGCAGTGTGAGAAATTTACATCAACAGTAAATTACTTATAAGGTACATCCATATTCCTCACTTAATTTACTCTTTACTACTACTTTGTAAATAAACAGCAATAACCTTTATTGGACATTGCTAAATAGCCTATAAAACACTAATATCTCTACATATCTCCTCCTCCTAAGCCTTCTTGCTAAAATGGGTTCTAGCATTAAGTCAGCTTTATAAAATAGGAAAATGGAAGTCTAGAAAGTTCAAATGGCTTGCTCAAAGCCAAGAACGAATGGGAATGGAATTGAATTAAATCTCAGTTATCTCTTAGCTGGCACTTCTTTTGAAAATGAGGATGGGTGAGATGATTGAGAGCTAGACAAGTGATGGAGGTTTACAGAGTCTTAACTCCCACTCCCTTTCCTTTGTTCATTCATTCATTCATTCACTCACTATTTTAGCCAATGCTTATTGAGTACCTATCATGTGTCAGGTCTTATGTTGAGCACCACAGGGTAGTAGGAGAGATAAGGACCATGTCCTTGTAGAACTTAAGACTTAAACCCAAAATGTTGGAATGTCAGGGATAACTGATCTGACATTTGAGTATTTAGAGAAGAATAGATCATCTAAATCAATAATTTCAAAAAATTGAAATTAACCAAGTTTAGGTTAAAAAAAATTGGATCTAGATCAGTTGCCAGTGTTTTACACCTGTAATCCCAGCTACTCCTAGGGGTGAGATGTCAAGTTCTCAGTTCGAAGCCAACCCACGAAGAAAAGTCTGTGAGACTCATCTCTAACCACCAAAAAGCCAGAAGTGGAGCTGTGGCTCAAGTGTAAGAGTCGTAGCCCTAACCAAGAAAAGCTCAGGGACAGTGCTCAGGTTTATGCCCTAAGACTGGCACACAAAAAAAATTGGATCTCATATACATGAATTACATTTGTTCTAGTTTAAATATGCCCCCAAAGTACATGTGTTAGCAATTTGATCTTCAATGCAACAACACTGAGACGTAGAACCTTCAAGAAGTGATTAGATCATGAGGGCAGATTTCCCTAGTGATTAAAAAAATGCAACCAGCCTCCTTTACCTCTCTCTCCTAATGTTCTCTTGCCCTTCCACTTCCTGCCATGGGGTAACACAAGAAGATACCAGGTACACATCCCTTCATCTTGGATTTCTCAGGTTCTAGAACTGGAAGAAATAAATTCCTGTTCTATATAAATCAGTTTTCCAATTGTGTAGTATTCAGTTATAGCAGCATAAAACAGACTATAGCAACATTATTATCTTCCTCACCATCCTTGGTCTTCCCTTCCATTCCACTTAACTAGCAGATATTAGATTTTACTTGCTGAGTACTATTGGCCAAAAGACCTGTGCTCAAGTCCCCACTCTGATTCTTCACTGAGTAACCTTGAGCAAGTCACTTAACCTAACTGAGACTCATATTCCTCATCTGTAAAGGAATTGGTGATCAAATGAAATAATGGGCAAACGAAGTGCTTTTTTTTGGCAGTCTTGGGATTGAACTCTGGGCCTAGGCATTGTCCCTCAGCTCTTCAGCTCAAGGCTAGCACTCTACCACTTGAGCCACAACACCACTTCTGGTTTTCTAGTGGTTTTATTGGAGATAAGAGTCTCACAGACTTTCCTGCCTGGGCTAGCTTTGAACCATGATCCTCAGATTTCAGCCTCCTGAGTAGCTAGGATTACAGGCATGAACCACGGGTGCTCGGCTCACAATGTGTTTAATGAGTATGGACTTACCTAAGAATTTGGGTTATCACTGTCAAGAAACTTGCTGCTCCAGGATATCTCAAGTGTGGAGCAATGGAGCTGGACATGAGAGTTAGCTTGTTTTAAGTACTAAGAAAGCCTCTCTACAGAAACATTACCCTCAGTGAGATTGCACAGTGCAAGACATGGCTCTGATACCTGGCTGCTTGTGTTCAAATCCCAGTTCTTCCACTCACTAGCCATGTGACCTGGGGCACATAACTTGTGGCTGCAGATTACATCTATTGTACTATGTTAAGGAGAGTATGAAGTGAGATGGTGCATGCGAAGCCCTTGACATGGATGGAGTGCTCAGTAACTGTCTTTGGTTTTTTATGTTGTTGTTGTTGTGGAGCTTTTTTTTTTGTTTTTGGTTGGTCATGGGGCTTGAACTCTGAGCCTGGGCACTGTCCCTAAACTCTTCAGCTCAAGGCTAGTGCTTTACCACTTGAGCCACAGCACCACTTCTGGTTTTCTGGTGGTTTACTGGAAGTAAGGGTCTCACGGACTTTCCTGCCCAAGCTGGCTTTGAACTACAATCCTCAGATCTCAGCCTCCTGAGTAGCTAGGAATACAGGCCACTGGCGCCTGGCCTAGCTTTGTTTTGTTAAATGAAATCCATGCTGAGAAAGGTGAGGGCTATGGAAGAAGTAGCAGCATCCTCAAGGAGAGCATAGGTTAAAGTGATGTTGACAAATGTGTCTCCTCACACTGCATGGAAGCACCGATGGAAGGACGAAACTCTCATAAATAACACAACTGCATAGCCCAAAGAAGAAAAGTTACCTTGGCCACATCACTAACAAGTAACCTTAATTCTTTCTAGACTTCGATTTTCTATCTAAGTACACACACTGGACCCTTCAGATTGCATGCTGTGCTATTATGGTCACTATGAGCTACATGTGAACATTTACATTTAAATGAACTAAAATCAAATACAATTTCAAGTCTAATGCCCTAGTCATAGAAGCCACATTTCAAGTGTCTGTAGCCACACGTAGCCAAGGGCTGCCATATTCAAAACTGCAGAACAGAACATTTCCATCATTGTAGAAAATGTTATTGGAGAGCACTCGTCTACATTTTTTTTTTTTTTTTGCCAGTCCTGGGGCTTGAACTTAGGGCCTAGGCCTGAGCCACTTTAGCTCATGGCTAGCACTCTACCACTTGAACCACAATGTCACTTCTGGCTTTTTCTGTTTATGTGGTACTGAGGAATCGAACCCAAGGCTTCATGCATGCTAGCCAAGTGCTCTACCACTAAGCCATATTCCAAGCCTGGCTTCAAACTTGCTATGTAGCCCAGGTTTGCCTCATACACTTAGTCCTCTTGCTGCTACCTCCCAAGTGCCTGGATTCAGATTTGAGCCACCATACTCTCCTTAACATAATCTAAACAGCTCTCTTTAATAATCACTGAGGATGGACAGTGGGTAGGGCAAGTCTGGGATCTGGATGCTGACAATGGGCACCATCTAAAAGGCAGGAACTGAGGGAAGGGGTAGAAAATGGCCACTAGGATTCCACTGAGAACTCCTCACTCTAGTGTTCTACAATCCATGCCCTAGGTAAACGAAGGCACGTGCTGAGCATGGATGGCTTTCTCAGCTACCTCTGCTCAAAGGATGGAAACATCTTCAACCCGGCCTGCCTGCCCATCTACCAGGACATGACACAACCTATGAACCACTACTTCATCAACTCCTCTCACAACACTTACCTCTTGGGGGACCAGCTTCGTGGCCAGAGCAGCGTCGAGGGATATATACGGTGTGGTAGTGACAAAGGAGGGGGTCTAGCTCAAGAAAGGGACCTTCTGTGAGAAACTGAGGGCAGCTGTGAGTGGAGAAGAGATTGTAGAGATAGAAAAGGGCTGGGGGGAGCTGTGGGACCTTAGAGATCTGAGACACTTGCTAAGATATTAAAGAATAATGGGAGCATGTTAATGAAACCCTACAAGTGAATTCAGAGGCCCTGCCATATTTATTCTGAACAAGTAAATGTGGTAGGAAAGGCACTAGAACATGGGATTTAAAAACAGAAGTTCTAGAATCAAATAGTAGTTTATACTTTGTGTTGAGGTAGTCTTTGGTACTCACTTGGGGTTTTGCAGCTAAGCAATTAGCCTCTAGGCAACTGCCTATTTTCTCAAGGTTGTTAGGAAGATCAAATTAGATCATCCATGTATCTATAGGTAATAAGTATCAGCTGCATTTACTGTAATTAATCACGGATTTGATTGAATAGTTGACATATCATTATAAGAGCATCAAAGAATGCAAAAATGAATGAAGCTTTTACTAAAAAATGAGTGAAACCTCCAAGTTTCAATCTTAGCCTGTGTGAGGCACTGACTGCAATGGCTGGCAAAAGATACATAGATAGGCTGGGCACCAGTGGCTCACGCCTGTAATCCTAGCTACTCAGGAGATTCAAAGCCAGCCCTGGCAGGAAAGTCCATGAGACTCTTATCTCCAATTAACCACCATAAAACTGGAAGCGGTGCTGTGGCTCAAGTGGTAGAGCACTCACCTTGAGCTGAAAAGTGCAGGGACAGTCCCCAATCCCAGAGTTCAAGTCCCACAACCAACAGAGAAAGAGACAGAGACAGAGAAAGACACAGAGAGAGAGAGAGAGAGACAGAGACAGAGACAGAGAGACAGAGAGAGAGGTCCCTGAGAGTCTGAATAACCCAGGTGTCGTACAGGTCTATATAGCCTGAACATTGAAGTATCACTAGGCAATGAGCTGCTAAGGAAGGTTGTAAGCTGAGAAGGATGAGGTTGGAGATTAGCGTGAGCTGCAGCCTTGTCCAGTGACATGGAGAAGGCTCCATGGAGATGTAGCTTGAAGGGGTCTAGATGAGTAAATACTGGTATACAATACTTTTGAGACAGATCTTACTACTTAACCCAGGCTTGTTTCAGAATGGGCAGAGGGTCTTTAGTGGCAGATCACATTTTGATGTCTCCTGCATCTGGGGTTCTTTCAGGGCCCTGAAGCGGGGGTGCCGCTGCGTAGAGGTGGATATATGGGATGGACCTAATGGGGAACCCTTTGTTTACCACGGACATACCCTGACTTCCCGCATCCCGTTCAAAGATGTTGTGACCACAGTAGCACAGTATGCCTTCCAGGTAGTTGTTCAAGGTTGGGAGCAGGGCTAAATAAGACAAGGGGGAACAGTAACTGGCTCTGAGTCTGGGGAAGGTGGAAGGGTGCAGGGAGGGTTCTTGCAAACAGCATGATATGCAAAAAGTAAGTTCTAGCTCAAGTCCAGTACCAGTGGTTCACACCTATAACCCTAGCTACATGGTTTGAAGCCAGCCATGGCAGGAAAGTCCATGAGGTTCTTATCTCCAAGTAAACACCACAAGAAAAAAAAAAAGGAAAAGAAAAAAGAAAAGAAAGGAAAAGAAAAGAAAAAGCCAGATGTGGCGGTGTGACTCAAGTGGTAGAGCGCTAGTCTGAAGCACAAAAGCACAAGGACAGTGCCTAGGCCCAGAGTTCAGGCCTCAGGACCAGCAAAAAAGAAAACGAAAAAGAAAAATTGTAACTCTAAAATATTAGATATTAAGAAAGAGTTATAAATAAATGTTGGATGTGTCCCTAGTAGTCAGAAAGGTAATCATTGATTTCTAATCATTACTACTTATAACAATTTCCTAAGGAAACAGAAGAGCTGGGGCCAGTAAGAACCTGGAGATAGGGGCTGGGAAGGTGGCTCAGTGGTAGAGTGCTTGCCTTGCATGCATGAGGCCCTGGGTTCAATTCCTCAGCACCACATAAGCAAAAAAAAAAAAAAAAAAAAAAAAAGCCGGAAGTGGCACTATGGCTCAAGTGGTAGAGTGCTAGCCTTGAGCTGAAGAGCTGAGGGACAGCGCCCAGGCCCAGAGTTCAGGCCCCACGACTGGACCCCCCCCCCCAAAAAAAAAAGAACCTGGAGATGAAGGCCTCAAAATAGAATGTGGACACTGCAGGCCTGACTACCACTCTGAATCTGAAGGTGCAAGGGTCTCAGGGGAACCTGGGTCAGACTTAGAACAGGTATGAGATATGGGGGACCAAGGGGGCTCTTTAGTAATAGCTAGTGTAATTAGGAGTAGCCCCCAGACTCAACAAAGTCTCATTGAGCCCTTTAACAGTTGTGAAAGAGTCTGGTAATCAGAGTACTCATTTGAGTGAATAAATGAGGGGGAAAGTTAGGAACCAAAGAGGTTAGAGGGTTTTTTGTTTGTTTTTTTTTGGTCGGTCGTGGGGCTTGAACTCTGGGCCTGGGCGCTGTCCCTCAGCTCTTCAGCTCAAGGCGAGCGCTCTACCACTTGAGCTACAGCGCCACTTCTGGTTTTCTGGTGGTTTATTGGAGATAGGAGTCGCACAGTCTCTCCTGCCCCCGGTGGCTTTGAACCGCGATCCTCAGATCTCAGCCTCCTGAGTAGCTAGGATTACAGGCGTGAGCCACCAGCGCCCGGCTGTGGTTAGAGGGTTTTGTAACTCTAGATGCCACATCCTTCCCCACCAGACAACAGACTACCCAGTCATCATGTCCCTGGAGAACCACTGCTCCTGGGATCAGCAGCGGACGGTGGCCCAGCATCTGACAGAGATCCTGGGGGAGCTGTTGCTGAACACCGCCTTGGATGATGTGCCCTTGAACCAGCTGCCCTCACCTGAGGTAGGTACTCAGTGCTCTGTCTAGGCTTCCTGTAGCGTCCATATTCCTTACATAGCTACTTCTTGATCTTCCTTTCTTCCTTTCTTTCTTCCCTTTCCTTTCCCTTGCCCTTTCCTTTCTTGTGCCAGCTCTGGAGTTTAAATTCAGCGCCTCATACTCTTACTTAGCTTTTTTTGCTCAAGGCTGGTGCTCTACCACTTGAATCACACCTCCAACTTCTGGCTTTTTGTTGGTTAGTTGGACATATCACAGCTTTGTCTGCCTGGACTTGCTTCGAATCAAGATCCTCAAATCTCTGCCTCCTGAGTAGCTAAAGTTTATGTGTATGAGCCACTGGTGCCCAACTTGATCCCATCTTTCTATCTTCAGATAGACTTTCTCTTTAGCATGCCTGGAGACAACTTAAATTTTGGAAGCTTTAATTGAACACAGAATCTACTTATAGTTCTTAAGTTTCAAGTCATTATGTGCTGTAAATTTCATTTGCAATGGAAATATCTTAATTTTTGGTAGTAATTTGTGTAGACTATACAAAAATACAAAGGGAACTCTTACCCCATTATAACCCCAAACTTTTCCAAAAATCTATCAATAGATGATTTTATTTAAATCCCAGGACCTCTATCACTGAGCTACACCCTCAGTACCTACCATGAGATTTTTAAAGACTTAGGTAAACATGTATGTGTATATTAACATACATACACACACAGTACTGTGGTTTGAGCTCTAGGCAGGTCTTACTGTGGAGCCATACTTCTAGCTCTGTTTCCTTCTGATTATTTTTTTTTCTTCCTTGTTATGGGGCTTGAACTCTGGGCCTGGGCACTGTCTCTCAATTCTTCAGCTCAAGGCTAGCACTCTACCACTTGAGCCACAGCGCCTCTTCCAATTTTCTGGTGGTTTATTGGAGATAAGAGTTTCATGGCCTTTTCTGCCCGGGCTGGCTTTGAACCGCAATCCGCAGATCTCAGCCTCCTGAGTAGCTAGGATTACAGGCATGGGCCAATAATGCCCAGCTTTCTGGTTACTTTTTGAAATAGCATCTCACTTCTTATCTGAGCATGATCCTTCCATGTTAGTCTTCCCAGTGTAGCTAGGATAACAGGCACGCGTCACCTTATCCAGCTCTCCTCAAGTAGTCTGGTCAGAAGCTGGTGGCTCATGCCTGTAATCTTAGCTACTCAAGAGGCTGAGCTATGGAGATCGTGGTTTGAAGCCAGCCCAGGCAGAAAAGTCTCCATGAGACTCTTATTTCCAATTAACCATTAAAAAGTGGAAGTGGAGCTATGGCTTAAAGTGGTAGAGCATTAATCCTGAGCAAAAGAGCTCAGGACAGTGCCCAGGCCCTGAGTTCAAGCTCCATTACCACCAAAAAAAAAGGGGAGGGGGCAGGGGAGATCTGGTTAACTTTTCTTCCTGGGCTGGCCTCAAATCTTGATCCTCCTAACTTCACCCTCTCAGGTAGCTAGGATTATAGGCATGAGCCACCAGGACATGGACATTTTTTTTTTCCATAATAGCTTTATATTGTTCTAGTTTAAGTAATTAGTCATAATTTATCCAGTTGAACATTTGGTAGACATTTAGGTTGTTTATAATTCTTCTTCTTCTTTTTTTTTTTTTTTTTTTATCGGTTGTGGGGCCTGAACTCTGGGCCTGGGCGCTGTCCCTCAGCTCTTCAGCTCAAGGCTAGCGCTCTACCACTTGAGCCATATCACCACTTGCGGCTTTTTTTTTGGTCTGCTTATGTGGTGCTGAGGAATCGAACCCAGGGCCTCTTGCATGCAAGGCAAGCGCTCTACACGAGCCACCTTCCCAGCCCTGTTTATAATTCTTGTACATATATCCTTAGCCACTTATTCTTTCTTTGAAATAGATTCCTAGAAGCAGAATTGTTGGGTTAAAGAGGTTAAAGTTTCTATTCTGACATTTTTGTCACTGTCAACTTTCCCGCTTAAAAAAAAATTACCAAATTATACCCCAAAGAGAAGAGAGTGACTACAAATAACTTCATAAATGACATGATTCAGATTCATAATGGAAAGTGTTGGGGAAAAAGGAGGGGACGGGGCTGGGAAGGTGGCTCAGTGGTAGAGCGCTTGCCTTGCATGCCTGAAGCCCTGGGTTCCATTCCTCAGCACCACATAAGCAAAAAGAAAAAAGCCGGAAGTGGCACTGTGGCTCAAGTGGTAAAGCGCTAGCCTTGAGCTGAATTGCTGAGGGACAGCGCCCAGGCCCAGAGTTCAGGCCCCATAACCGGACCCAAAAAAAATAAAAAAATAAAAAAAAAGGAGGGGATGTTTTTAGTTTGAGGTTTTTGCTGCTGTGGTTGTCATTCTGCTTTATTTTGTCTACTGAGACAGAGACTTGCTATGTAGTCCTGAGTGGCCTCCTGCTCCAGCTTCCCAATTCTTGGGATTATTGGCATGAAGCAAAAAAGCTAAGAGATATTACCCAAATCCTGAATGTAAGCCCCGGTACTAAAGAAAAAAAAAAAAAACCAGAAAGATCTTTTTTTCTTTAATCATGATTATTCAAAAAGATATTCTATCTTCTCATAATCTCACCATATGTATGTACCTATGTATCTATATATCCTTTTAACTTAAAGGAGATTTTAGTGGATCAAATGTGAAGTAGGGACCTACATTTTTTTTCTTCCAAATGGATGAAGATGTTGCAAGTTGTTTAACAAGGGAATCCATAGTGTGTGTGTGTGTGTGTGTGTGTGTGTGTGTGGAGAGAGGGGGTGAGAGGGAGAGAAAAGAGAGAGAGAGAGAGCAATCTCTTCCTAGGAGAACTGTGTGCCTGCTTGGTCATATCTGGTACTCCACTACTTGAACAATACTTCCAACCTAACTTTTGGCTGTGTAATTAGAGATGGAGGCTTGTGAACTGTCCTGCACAGGCTGGCTTTGAACCAAGATCCTCCAGAATTACAGGCATGAGCTAGTTATTATTCCTAGGGTAACTTCTAGCCATTTAATTTCTTCCTCTGCTTTTTTTTTTTTTTTGGGGTCCGGTCGTGGGGCCTGAACTCTGGGCCTGGGCGCTGTCCCTCAGCTCTTCAGCTCAAGGCTAGCACTCTACCCCTTGAGCCACAGCGCCACTTCCAGTTTTTTTTTTCTATTTACTTATGTGGTGCTGAGGAATCGAACCCAGGGCCTCATGCTTGCAAATCAAGCGCTCTACCACTGAGCCACCTTCCCAGCCCCCTTCCTCTGCTTTTGAGAACAATGGAAACTTCATGAGGTTCCATGAAGCCCTGGGGGCAGAAACTGAATTTCTCTCTTCATTTTTGTCTCCTAGAGGCTTCGGGGTAAGATCCTGATAAAGGGAAAGAAGCTAACAACAAATGAGGAGGAGGAGGATGAAGAAGAAGAGGACATGCGCTCTGAGCTGGAGAGAAGGCATGCCACAGAGCTAGAGCTAGACCCCTACTCTGAGACTGAGACTCAGTCTGTGCCTGCACCTGAACTCCAGCTTCAGGTTAAGGACAAAATGAAGGTACACAGTTGGAGTGGTTTGTCTGCTGGACATCTGAGTACAGGGCATTCAGCTGAGGGCTGGTTTCTGAAGAGACTAGAGTCAATAGAGTAGAAGGCCAAGAAGAAAACAATCCTTCCTCTAATGAAAAGACATAAGAATATATGCATAGCATTATAATACTTGAGATATTGCCATGTATCAATACATTGCAGTGACTTTCCAACTTCTTGGGGCCATGAGATCTTTTTCTTTTTTTAATGAAATTGACATAGAGGCTTAGTATACAAAATAGATAGTGCACAACTATTCTAACTGAAGCCCCCCTACTGGGTCTTAGTGGGATGTGTATGTGTAGGATCCCAGGATGGGCAAGTGGGTAAGTTACAAGAAAAGAGGATTTTAAGGGGTTAGGGAGAAGACACATCTTTGTACTTCTCAATCTCCATAAGAGCTAGTTTGAGTTGGGCACTGGTGGCTTATGAATATAATCCTAGCTACTCAGGTGGCTCAGCTCAGGATCACACTTCAAAGCCAGCCCAGGCAGGAAAGTCTGTGAGACACTTATCTCCAATTAATCACAGAAAAAGCCAAAAGTGTTGCTGTGGCTCAAGTGGTAGAGTGCTAACCTTGGGCAAAAGGAGCTTAGGGACAGCCCCTAGGCCCAGAGTTCAAGGCCCAGGAGCTGCAGAAAAAAGAAAAAAAAAAAGAGCTAGTTTGAAAATCACCAATAGGGGTGTATATGTGTGTGTGTGTGGGGGGGTGGTAATCACCTTTATATTGGCTAAATAGGGATTACTGGAGTGACCCTCAATTATAGTAAATTTAGGGACCATTTCATGGGAAGGGTTAAGTCTGGGCTTGAGGAGCCAGAAATGCCCAAAAGTGAGCCGGAAAGGAGGAGAAATTTGACGTGGAGAAGGTGGAGGCCTCAAGACTATGCCAGCACGATCCACCCATTTCTGTCTGGGAAAGAGGGAGACCGAGGTGGGAGGGATGCCACTGGTGGGCCCTCCAAGATCCCGGCTTGAAGTCTGCCTTTCTCTCTTTTGTGCACTTACTTGGTTCACTCAACTGACTTCTAGCTAATCTTGTTCTTTCTGGGGTTGTGGTGATTAGCCTGTTGTCACCACATTAGGAATGGAAATGAGAACTTAGGAGACAAATCCAAAATGATCTACTGGGACCACTGCATCCTTTCAGGTGTGAATTCCATGACCATATTGCATTCTTAATGTATCTGCATAGACTCATGTACATTCTGGCCAGATTATCATTCATTTATTTGAAAAGACAAGAGAGAGTAATCATATGTTAAAAATCTATTACCCAAGATGTGAAATAAAGCGGATCCTCCAAACAAAGCAGGTGCTTTAGCCTCCAGAGGCTAACACAGATGACACTAATATAGAAAGACTGATTTTTTTGGGGTGCATATGCCAATCTTTGATTGTGCACTATCCTTGAGCTTTTGTGCTCAAGGTTAGGGCTCTACCACTTGCACCACAGCTCCACTTCCAGCTTTTTTGTGGTTAATTGGAGGTAAGAGTCTCACAGACTTTCTTGCCTAGACTGGCTTTGAAATGTAGTCCTCAGGTCTCAGCCTCCTGAGTGGCTAGGATCACAGGCACGAGCCATCAGCACCCGGCAGATGAAGACTGCTTTTATTCCCATCCCCACTGCCAGGTTATGAGGTGCTTGCCGACTTCTCTGCCTAGTTGTTGTCAGACTTTGATCCAGCCTCCTAATACCAATCCTGGGCCTGTTCTATTGACCAAGCAGGTGAGGCAGGAAGGAAGAATGCAGTGGGGGAGGTAGTAATGGGAAGAGGTTTAGGTTGGACCGCCATTAGCTTCTTCCCTCACAGAATGCTAAGGATTCAATTCCATCTTTCTCTCTACTTTCTTCTCCAGAAAGCCAAGGCCATATTATGTCCAGCCCTCTCTTCTCTGGTTATCTACTTGAAGTCTGTCTCATTCAAAAGCTTCACACATTCAACGCAACACTACTACTATGGGATAGCATCCTTCTCTGAAAACAAGGCCAAGCACCTCATCAAGGAGGCTGGTCAGGATCAAAATGGAAGGAGAGGGAGGGAAGTGGAATGGGTAGGTTCAGGCCTTGTAAGCAGGCAGGTAAGTCCCAAACAAGAGGATAAGGGAGATAGGAAGAGATAAAGAAGCAAAGGGAAAGGACTTATGACTAGTGGGCACAAAGCTATAAGGGGAGGAAAGTTTGGGGGAAGATGATCCGAATGGAACACAACAGAGGCACACTGAAGCTCTCTGCAACCAGCTTCAGATGTTGAGAAGAATGAAGTGAGCAAGGTCCTTAGGACCACTCAAGTAGAAGAATGAGCCTTGAATGGAGGGAACTTCTAATACTTTCCCTGTTCCCTTTCACAGGCAATGATTTTGTGCACCATAACACTTCTCAGTTAAGCCGTATATATCCCAGTCGTCTGAGGACAGATTCATCGAACTTCAATCCCCAGGAATTCTGGAATGTAGGCTGCCAGATGGGTAAGGGGGTACTAAGAACAAGGAGGGAGTGGAGACGCAAGCAGCTGGTGAAAGAAAAGTTTACCAATGGAAGTAGGCCAGGGAATTGCTTACAGAGTGCTAGGGTAAGGAATGTTATCTATGGAGATGTTTCCAATGGGCAGGCTCCTCTCTCCTCCCCTTCTCTCCTCTCCTTTTTCTTCTCTGTCCCCTCCATCTTCGCCTGTTCTCCATTCCTTTCTCTCTACTCCCCTTTCTCCTCCTCTTATATCTTTTCTTCTAGGCAGGGTCTCCTTATATAGCCCAGGCCAGCTTTAAACTGGCATCTTTCTTCAGCCCCCTAGGTACTAGGGTGGCAGGCATACATTAGCTCTAGCTCCCACAAGAACTTTTATACCCAGTACTTGTCTTTTTAGTGCCTGCCCTGAAAGAGGAGCTGGAAGCTTCCCAAAGTGAATTTTGACCATCTTTTCTCTTGGGGTTCTCAGTGGCTTTGAATATGCAGACCGCAGGACTTGGAATGGATATCTGTGATGGGTTCTTCCGCCAGAATGGCAGCTGTGGCTATGTGCTGAAGCCCAAATTTCTGCGTGATACCCAGAGTTCCTTCCACCCCGAGAGGCCCATCCAGCCTTTCAGAACCAAGATCCTTTTAATTCAGGTATGATGGATACTGAACATGGGATATCTGGGAGGGAAGCAGGGGGAAGAAATGAGATCTTGAGAGAGTACAATTGCTTGAAAACTTCTTGAGACTAGATGGCCTGATTGTTAGCAGTACAGATTTTGGAGCCAGCTGCCTAATTTCAAACCTATTTAGTGTTTTGGGCAAGTTTCTTTAACCTCTGTGTACATCAGTGTAAAATGAGGGTACTCCTACCACCTACCTCACAGGGTTCGGAGAACTGCAGCAGCCAAGATTAAATGTTTATTCTAGTGCATAGTAAGAGGCTGTGGTCCTTGGTGTGCGTTTCAAACTTTTTTTTTTTTGGTTGTGGGGCCTTGGCGCTGTCCCTCAGCTCTTCAGCTCAAGGCTAGTGCTCTACCACTTGAGCCACAGTGCCACTTCCAGCTTTTTCTGCTGGAGGAATCAAACCCAGAGCCTCATGCATGCGAGGCAAGCACTCTACCACTGAGCCACCTTTCCAGTCCCAACCTTCTTAATTTCTAACTGGAAACCTATTACCCATGGAGGATTCATTTTGTAAACCAAGAAGCTATAGCTATGCATGGTCCTCCGTCTTTGCTTCCCCGGGGGTAAGAGGAATGAAGGGCACCTGGCTGAGCAGAAACTCATGAAGTTCTAGTGCCCTGATTGCAGGTGATCAGTGGTCAGCAACTCCCGAAAGTGGGCAACACCAAAGAGAGGTCTATTGTGGATCCGCTGGTGAAAGTGGAGCTCTTTGGCATTCGTGAAGACACAAGCCGGCAAGAGACCAACTATGTGGAGAACAACGGTGAGCGACTGGGCAGTGCAGAGGAATGACTGCTGTTGCCCTTTTATCTTCTCCTTCATTGACTATACTCCATTTCTCCACCTCCACACCCTACTATGGGAAGCAGGTGGACAATACAGAGAATCTAGCCCCCTCCCTTACAGGCTTGTTACTTGGGAAAATGGCTTACACCTTCTGTGCCTTTCCTCACCTGCAAAATGCTGAATGCCATCTAGATTAAATAATACAGGGAAAGCCACTCCATGTGGATCTAACAGAGATAATCAATGTCTATTTCTTCATTTCCCACCTGTCACCACCTCAGGTTTTAATCCATACTGGGGGGAAACATTATGTTTTCATGTCCGGGTGCCTGAACTTGCTGTGCTGCGTTTTGTCGTTAAGGATTATGACTGGAGATCTCGAAATGACTTTATTGGTCAGTTTACTCTGCCTCTGAGCTGTATGCAACAAGGTGAGACAGTCCTTGGAAACCTTGGTCAACACTGCAACTCTGGCTGCCTTCCTAATAATAGTTTTCCTGCCCCATCCTAGGTTACCGCCACATACACCTGCTCTCCAGAGATGGCATCAGCCTCCAGCCAGCTTCCATCTTTGTGTACACCTGCATCCGAGATGACCTACAGGAGGAGGATTCTTGAGGTGGGTACTTTTGTAGGAAGGGTGAGAAACACCTGGAACGATGCTCCAGAGAAAACAGACATGAAAAGGATACTTTGGTTTGTGTATTCCTAGGCACAAAATTATCTAATAGACAAATCTAAGAGCTGACTTTCCATCTTCTCTTCCCTTCCCTTCTCTTGTTTTCACAGGCCTTTAGTATCTTTCCTGCCCTTTCCTTTTGTGTACTCTCTACTGGAGTTCCCTCCTTCCTCCTGCAGTAGGCTCAGTTCCATACTCAGATCTACTACTAACCTCTCCCATCAATGGTATGAAGGCAGACTGCAACTATAAACCTAGAATGGGGATTGGAGCAGAGAAACCTACAGAAGCATGACCCCTTCCATCCCTAACTTCCTCCATGCTGAGAACCAGGGAAGGATAAATCACAGCTCCCCAGGCAAAAAGCTGGAGAAGGATTCCTGATCCTAGACTGTACTGATTCTCCAGAGAATACTGCACAGCCCCTGTCCCCACCGGACTGCTCCTCCTCAGCTGGTATAAATAGAGCTTTTCTCTTCAACTTGGCTTCAGTATGGTCTCTTGTTGGGCAAGGATGGAGGGACATTTGGGCTGTTGAGTGGGATGAAAATGGTATAGATCTAAGGTTTCCCAAGGCCCCTCCTATGTGCAGCAGCATAGCTCAGGGAGGACAGAGAAGAGAGGCTTCTAAGGGGCAAAGCCCCTGAAGAGCTTGCCTAAAATAATCCCAGTTTATGTCTTTTGTGTCCCTGAATAATTAATAGCATCCTCTTTAATTTTCCCAGTGTGTCCCAGCTGAGAGGATGAATTACATAGAGAGGCACTACAGAACATAATAGTGAAAATTCTGGATTGGACTCTTCCTTCCCTAATGATCTGCCCTCCACAGTGGCCTGTGCTTTCACTTAGTATAGATAGCTAAGTGAGCCAGTCTGAGGACTCATGACTAACGCTGCCTCCAGAGGGAGGCTTAGTGGGTGGCAATCCTCCTACAAGCAAAGGGAAGAGAGCAAGGCAAGAGCCAGGACAGACTCAAGGACAGAGAGGGCAGACATGGGTTTGTTTTAGAACCTATCTCTGAGTGAAAGTAGAATGGACAAAGGAGCTCTAAGACTAACCAAGTTCTAAAAGGGGACAGGACAAACAGGGTGAAAGCTCGTAAGCATTGTTTAACATGCTTTATGGTTATTAGGCACAGTAGCACATGCAGTTAGATACAACTGTTTTAAAATATACTAAAAGAAAAAAGGGCTAGATACAGTAAGAAGGAAGATGGAGTGGACAGACTGGACAATATCAAGATCTTATAGCCAGGATTCTGGTAAAATGATGGCAAAGAAACTGGAAATTCATCCCCATGTAACACAGAGCACCTCAAGAGGAAATCAATGTTTTGGTCCATGTCTCTCTTTTATATAGGCATTAATTTCAAAGAATAATGCTCAGAGTCTGGTGGGAATTGAGAGAGTTCTAGTATAGTAACATCCCAAAGCCAAAGCCAGTTCTCCCTCAGGCCTGGTACTCCTTAGGCCAGCCCCATCCCACTGTGTACATGTAGGACCGTATGTTCTTCCTGTCTGGGAGCTGCAGAAGGCACTCAGCCCTCAGGTCCTGTGGTAGGTACTGCCGGAGCAGGAGGGCTGGGATTCTCCAGCTTCACATCATGCAGGTGCACTGTGGGGGTGGTGGGGTCTTTGCCCACACCTTGGTTGGGGTCAGCCTGGTCAGGGTGGTGCCTGCGCACATGTTTGACCACCTGGAACTTCTGCTTGGCTTTGTAACTGCAGAGGCGGCAGAAGAAGGGATGGCGGTCGGTGTGGGTGAGGGCGTGGTGGCGCAGGCCAGCAGCCCAGCGGAAAGCGCGGTGGCATACGTTGCACACGTAGGGTTTGGCCTCACTGTGCTTCCGCAGATGCGTGCGCAGCAGGAAGCGTGTTTTGAAGGCCTTGCCGCACTGTTCACACATGAAAGCCCGTGCCTCACGGTGCCGGGTCTCTTGGTGTACCCGTAATGCATCGGCACGGTTGGTACGGTACTCACACTCAGGACACCGGTATGGCTTCAGTCCTGCAGGACAGGGAACAAATCACCACTGAAGAGGATAGAATAAGGTTTAGTGGGCCCTAAGAGTCACTATGGTACTAGGATATAAAGAACACAACAAGCTGACTAAGAAGACTCTATTTTTTTTTTTTTGGTGCTGGTACTGGGGCTTGAACTCAGGGACTTGTGCTCTTGCTCGGCTTTTCCACTCAAGGCTGGCGTTCTACTATTTGAGCTACACCTCCACTTCTGGCTTTTTCCTGGTTAATTAGAAATAAGGAGTCTCTCATATTTGTCTGCTAGGGAACCATGATCTGCAGATCTCAGCCTCCTAAGTAGCTAGATTACAGGCATGAGCCACCAGTCCTGGCTAATGACTGTATCTTTATATTTGGAATATATGTGTGTGTGTGTGTGTGTGTGTGTGTGTGTGTGTGTATATCTTTATATTTGGAATATATATATGTGTATATATATGTGTATGTATATATATATATATATGTGTGTGTATATATATATATATATACGTTCTGTACCTTTCTCTCAGCACAGCTCTTGTACACACATAGGTTTCCAGGGAATGCTGATGCCTAAGTTAACTGCTAACCAAGCAGCCATTTGATAGTAGAGAATAGTCAAATACGGTAGGGTTCAAACTGGACAGTTACGATCCCAATCTTCTTTGGGAAATGGGATACTTAATAGTTTTGGGGAATCCATTTTTACTCAAAAAGTAAAAAAAAAAAAAAAAAAAGCTAAAGAAGGAAGAGGCAAAATTGAAAGCAGAAGCGCTCAGAAGCAGAGGCCTTGGAATGCATCCAGTCACTTCCCCCATATATGGGGAACCATTTTTTTGTGATCACTTGCTCACACAACCATTGATGTTTTACAAAGAACACATAGTCTCTGGGATCCACATACCCAGCAGCAGGATACTCTACATTTTCTCCTTTGTATTCATGACGTTCGCATCATATTTTTACTTAGTTTTTAAAAATTTTTTTGTTTTTAACTTTTTAAGTTTATTGTAGGGGCTGGGAAGGTAGCTCAGTGGTAGAGCGCTTGCCTTGCATGCCTGAGGCCCTGGGTTCGATTCCTCAGCACCACATAAGCAAAAAAGAAAAAAGCTGGAAGTGGCTCTGTGACTCAAGTGGTAGAGCACTAGCCTTGAGCTGAAGAGCTGAGGGACAGCGCCCAGGCCCAGAGTTCAGGCCCCACGACTGGACCCCCCCCCAAAAAAAGTTTATTGTAAAGTTGATGAACAGGAGTGTTACAGTTATATACATAAGGTAGTGAGTACATTTCTTTTTAAACACTATTATCACATCATATTTATGTAGGAATCAAGTATTTGCCATCAAATTTGAGTTCTCAGGGGTGGGTGACCTTGTACCACAATTACTTGAGAAGTTTTTGCAAAATACACATGTGTCCAGGCTCTTGAGTGTGCCCCTCTTCTATTTCCAATAGATGTACAGTGGTTTGGGAGTCCCTTTGATACACACTATCCCAGCCTATCTCCTATCCCCAGAGTGAAAACTGCCTGGCTCTGAATCTGAGCAAGGATAGATGCCACGTGGTGTGTGGGTATACGGTATATGGGGAAACCCTTCAGGTTTGTCAAGGTTACAAAGACTTACCTGTGTGCTTGGTCATGTGGTACTTGAGCTGGTTGACCCACTTGCACTTGTAGCCACACTCAGGACATAGGTACTTCCGTTCCTCCTTGTGGATTCGCATGTGGTACTGGAGAAGGAAGTAGCAAATATGTGTGCCACTTGGGACTCATGAAATTCGAGTAGGGACATGTAGGCTGAGAAGGTGTTAGTGCATGGCTCTGTGGCTCTCTCTCAGCCTTTCCATGCCCTCCTTGGACTAGCGAGGCCTCCCACAATGGCGCCAGCTTAATCCTTTTAGCTTTTTCCTAGGCCTGCCCTGACTGTCTCAGCTCTGCTTCTTACTATCCATGTTCTTTTCTTTTCTTTCTTTCTTTCTTTCTTTCTTTGTTTTTTGCCAGTCCTGGGGCTTGAACTCAAGGCCTGAGCACTGTTCTTGAGCTTCTTTTTTTTGCTCAAGGCCAGCACTCTACCGCTTGAACCACAGCAATACTTCCAGCTTTTTCTTTTTTTTTTTTGTCGGTCGTGGGGCTTGAACTCTGGGCCTGGGCGCTGTCCCTCAGCTCTTCAGCTCAAGGCGAGCGCTCTACCACTTGAGCTACAGCGCCACTTCCGGTTTTCTGGTGGTTTATTGGAGATAGGAGTCTCACGGTCTTTCCTGCCCGGGCTGGCTTTGAACCGCGATCCTCAGATCTCAGCCTCCTGAGTAGCTAGGATTACGGGCGTGAGCCACCAGCGCCCGGCTAGTTCCAGCTTTTTCTATGGATGTGGTACTGAAGAATTGAACCCAGAGCTTCATGCACGCCAGGCAAGCACTCTACCACTAAGCCATATTCCCAGCCCATCATCTCCACCAAACTACTATATGCCTTTATCATATGTGGCAAATGTGTCTTATAGAATTTCATCTTTACAAAAATCTTATCAAGTTGGTTACATATGATTCCCCTTTTCACAGATGAGGGACCTGAGTCCTGTAGAAGGAACTTGAACAAAGTCATATAGCTAATATGTGCAAGAGTTAGGACTAAAGAACCCAGAGCCTATTCCTTGCTGTGTGGCCCCTGACCCTACCTTAAGGCGAGAGGGGTCAGCACAGGCGTAGGGGCAGAGGTGGCAGCGGTATGGCTTCTCCCCCGTGTGGATGCGGCTATGCCAGGTGATCTTCTGCCGGTTCTTGGTGCTGTAAGCGCAGTCAGTACACTTGTAGAGGCGGGTGCCTCCGTGCCCCTTCACGTGGTGATCCAACACCAGCTGATGGCGACACGCAAAGTCACAAAAGGGACAGTGTAGGGGGGGCTGGCTAGCATCTCTGTCCCCATCGGAGGCCGCTGCAGAAGTCTCCTCGTGCTGTTCCAGGTAGTGCTTCACCAGGCCCACCCGCTCCCGGGCAGCAAAGTCACAGAGCTGGCAGCGGTGGCTGAAATGCTGCTGTCTCCGGTGCTCATCCAGAGCGAGCCGGCTGGAGAAGGCCTCCTGGCAGGCCCCACACTCTAGCCGTGGGTGCTGTTTCCGGGTGTGTCCTCTCAGGCTGGCAGGGCTGGGGCACAGCAAACCACAGTGGGAGCAGCGCAGGGGGCCCTCACTGGCCTCTGCAGCAGAGCCAGGAGCAGGCTGTGTGGACTCGGGGTGTCGCCGCAGAGCATGCTGCTTGAGTGCTGTCTCTGAGCTGAACTGGGCCTCACACTGGGTGCAAGAAAAGGCTGGGGTGCCCTGGTGGCAGCTATTGACATGGCGTGTGATGTCATGACGAAGATAGCCACTATAGTCACAAAGTGGACAGAAGTGGGTGGGTGTTTTGTCGTGGACCCTTAGTCGGTGCAAACGTAGTTTCGAGTTGGTACCGAACGTCTGGGAGCAGGAACTGCAAGGGATGCGGCCAACACCTGTGTGGCGAGACTGGTGAGCCTCTAAGCGGTACCGCCGGGTGGTGGAAAAGTCACAGAAAGGACACTGATGAGGCTTCACCCCCTCGTGCTTGAGCCGCCGGTGCTGCTGCAGGCACCGACTCTGCTTACAGGTGAAGCCACAGTCTGCGCACTGCAAGGGGGGCCGGGGACCCCGGGCAGGGTTTGCAGCGGGGTGCCTCCGCTTCT